CCTTTGATTTTCCCTTCCAAATGCCAGCCAGCATTCTAGGACTCTTGAGCATGTTTCGTCCTCATAGAGCTGTTTGGAGGGGGCCCTACATATCTTTGCACGTCTGAAAACATCGGGGTCCCCCCAAGCCCGCTATTTAGGCCAAATTTAAAAGATGGCAGATCTCTGCACATTTAATACTAGAACAGAAGCGAGAACTCCAGCAGGTGCAGCAGGGCAGGGGGGTTATGGCCAATGGCCATGCTTGCTCCGTTGCATGAAAAATAAGCTCTGTCTGCATACGTTAGCATGTCCATGTCTATGTTGTTGATGTTTGGGCCATTTTAGCTCCTGTGAGGAACTCCAGGAGGTTCTTATGCTACTGCTTCTCTCCATTTATCCTCAGAGGTAGGTTGGGTGAGAGGCAGTGACTGACCCAGAGCTACCCAGTGCACTTCATGGTTCAGTGAGGACTAGAACTTGACTATCCCAAGTCTTAGTCCAGTACTTTAGACCACACTGGCTGTTCGTATGATGTTTGCCATTCCAATACTCATCAAATATGCAGCGAAAGGGTAAACCGTGCAGTCTGACTCTTAATGCATGAGGGTTATGAGATTTTCCCTGTCCACTCCACCTTAATCTGTTCCAACAGAAAACAAGACATCTGGGTCTTGGTTTAGCAGGAAAATGCAGTCATGTGTTTCTGTAGAACCATGGTGAGTTTCCCTCGTTTGTTCCTTGCAATGTACTACTTGTACTAGAAGCCATGACTCAACTTCAGATTTTTTAAAGCTTTCACTAACCACTGCTATTAGCATGGTTAACACATGAAGCGTTTAGGCACAGAGTAATATGTGGGTGGTTTCTAGATATAAGGGAAAGACAAAAGTTTCTTATATTGAAACTGGGAAGATAATCTAAGGTGGCACGGGTTGATTCTTCTAGACTGAAACTGGGATATGGAAAGTCACTAATGCTAAGCAATAAAGAAACAAGCTTGCTAACCAGATTGCGTTCTTGATGATTCTTGCAAAAGTCCTCAGCAGTAGTTTCAAACAGAAGAGGATTATGCAGAACTTTCAAGGAAGCCAGCCCATCAATATGGCCACTCCTGGTTAATCGTAAGCCTTGGATCACTGACTAACACTCCAGGAAGGTTTACATAATGAAAATACACTAATAAAGAAAAATATATTAAAATAAAAGATATACATCAGTATAAAAGCAATGTTAAATTAGTGACACTAGGGACACAGTAAACCCACAACAGTAATGCTCAAATTAGTCCAGGGTACAGCAGCAGTAAAATACAGTAACATGTAATATAGACAAAATAGATTTTTTAAAAAGAGAATTAAAATTATTAACTGTTGCAATATTGGTTGAATAAAAAGGTTTTTACTAGGGCCTGGAAAGAATAAAGAGCAGGTGGGCAAGCAGGTGCACCTCCTTGGGTAGCTGATCCCATAATTGGGGTGCCACTGCCAAAAAGGCCCTTCCCCGTCTTTATTTCCTTTGAAGATGGCTCTCTGAGAAGGACCTCAAACAACGACTTCAGTGTCTGGGTAGGCATGTATGGGAAGAGGCATTCTTAATGGATGAAGAAATGTTGTTAGACATAATGGTGAGTGCCAAGCTGTGACTAGTTCCAGAGGCAGCATCATGGACGGAAATCTTACAAAGCTTTTGTAATACTGGCCTTATTGACACTTGTGCAGACTGAGCACAATGGCAGCAGATTGAAGGTCTATTCAGGTGTCCCAAGGCAAATATGCAAACAGTATGGAAAGTGGGACCACCACTAGCTAGTCCCCCGCATTTTCCTAGTATACCACACAGGATAATCACTGCCATCTCATATATTGTATTCATTTTATACAATGCATATCATATTCAATATTCATACACTTGATACCCATATGCAGTATGCTGAATATTTTCTTCACAGTAATCTGGGGTATCAGTGGCATTTGCTAGGAGAAAAACTGGGATATGTCATTTCAGGACTGATGCATGTTGGATCTGATCTGTACACACATCTGCCTTCATGCACCCTTTGTTCTCTTCCACAAGCCCATAAACTTGACCAAAACCAAAACCCACAATCTGCTTGGCTGATTCCTTTGTGAGCAGCAGTACTTCCATGGAAAAGGCTAGGAAGCTGCTTCCATTTCAATGCGGCAATTGCAATGCGAACTTGAATGCGAACTTGGCAGCAGCGTTGCAGGCAGAAATACAAGCAGAGAACTTTGGCTTGGGGCAGAGAGCCTCTGCCCATGGTGCATGTTCAGCATGCTACCTCTAGAGGTGCCGCTCATGGGACAGAGCATTGGAGAGAGCATGAATGCACGAGGTTGCCAACTCGTTGTGCCTTAAAGAATAACTGTTGATAAAGCTATTATGTGGCATGTCAGCATTAGGTGATGTGTTATAATTGGTCTCCAGGGCAGTTTGCTTTGTGTGTGATTTGAATCTTGTAACAGCAGCAGACTGAAGCTCTGAGCTTCCTGCGGCAAACACACATTGATCCCTCTATATTGTGAAGCAAATGGCCCCAGGGGGTAGTTATTAATCCTTGTGCATAAACTTCACTTGATTAACACACAACTTGTGGGAACTTACTTTGTTTGAGGCAGAGGTGTTGCAAGGCCTGGGCCCTTGCAGCCCTGACCCTGAATCCAAGGGGTCCAAACTGGTTCCCCACAGCACAAAAGAGGAAGAGGGGGCATACATTTGTTAAAACAAACAAACACAACATGTACAAAAAAGTTCCACCTCCCAGGGGACCAATACCCTGGGCCACATTTCTCTATTTATTAGATTTATATCCTGCCTTTTTCTTTTTTAAAGAACTCAAGGTGGCTTTCATCATTTTCGTCCTCCTGCTCTCAGTCTTATCCTCACAACAATAACCCTGTAAGGTTGTTTGGCCTGAGAGTCTGTGATGTACCCAAAGTCACCCAGCTGGCTCCATGGCTGAGTGGGGACTCCATTTCGCCAGAGTCCCAGTCCTATGGCCTTACCCACAAGATTGGGCCAGAGCAATTGGATGTGCCAGGCTGAGTGCGCATCCCAGAGTGGCTGGCACCCTCAACGTGGCTGTTCTAGGGGGAAATATGCAATATGGCTGTTCTGCCATAACCCATGCTCGAAACCCACTCCTGACAGCTGTGCATGGAGGGATTACAACCAACAAGAAAGAAAACGGCCATTTGCACCCTCAAAATGGCTATTCTGTAGAAAAAAATATCTAAAATGGCTGTTTTTCACTTTTAAGGGAAATTCGCAAAATTGTCTAGGCAGGTATGGGGAGAGGGGACCATGGAGTGTTCCAAGGAGCTCCGACTTCCAGGAAGGGGCTGTCATTTTTTCTTTGACAGAAGATATGCTCCTTTTTTCCTCCCAAAGTGCCTATTGGTGTTTGCTAACTTAGGGTGCAACCATATGAATGCATATTTATGCAGACTCTCACATAAGAGTTCTCTCCTGATTATTTATGTCTAAAAAGACATAAGAGTTCTCTTCTGATTGCCATGGAAAGGGCAATACTCCAGGGAAACTGCAGCTGAAGATGAATGCATTAACTGCCCTCTTCTCTTATGCACAGGAGCCCTACCCAATAAATATCGATGTAACTGTGCCTAGAACCCCTCCCCCCCATTCAAGATGATTTGGGAGCAGGGTGCAAATTAACATTATTTTGAGATCATATGGGTGAGAAATTAATGCACTAGCATTGCCTCCTGAGCATTGCAGATAAATTAATAAGCATTTCTATATCTGTATTCCTATATTTGCATATGTGGATGCAAATTTGACTGAGATTTGTGTCTCATGGGCCTGGGTCCCTGGTACTTTTAATTCCATGGCAGCACCCCTGACAATAACGAATGATTTCTAGACATTTTGCCTGTAGGTGTTAGAGGGTTTTTTTTAATGTTTCCTTTATTGCAAATTAAAGAAACAAAAACAACATTTGAAAACATACACTTAACATTATGTGTATTCCTTTTCCCTCTCACCCCTAGATCGAGTTACATTAATAAAGTCTACAGTCCTTCAGCCCGTTCATACATAGAAGAGCTGAGATCCGATGCGCAGTGACTCCAGAGCGAGCCCCGGTGAACACAATGGAGCTTGTTTCTGGGTCAACAGGCCAAGGACTGTCCAGCAAACGGCTTCGGTCCCGATCTCCCGCTGCTGACTGCTCCCCGACGCCCGTGCTCGGCTCGGCTCGGTGCATTTGCTGAATTCGACTGCCGCTTCTGTCCCGCCTGTTTGAATGGCGGTTCTTCTTTTTACTACGAGGCGAGCGAGCCTCTCCTCGGGTGCTCAGCAGAGGCGTGCTTCCGTTGACATCACTCCGCGGGAGGAACTTTCGGGAGCGCAAGGTGTAGAAACGCTTTTGTAAGTGGGGCGGGAGAGGGAAATCACCAAGTACCGTGATTGAAAAGTGAATGGATGTCATCAGCAGACAGGTTCCTTGCCTCTGTTTTTATTTCACCTCGCTTGACGGGGGTGGGGGAGAAAAGAAACTTTTCTTCCCTTCTCCTCCATTTGTGCCCTCTGCCAAATTAGCAAACCGCTTTGGCGCTGCCTCGTAGCAGAGGCGGCAATCAGCTCAATCCGCTAGGAGAGGCAAGCCCCATCCACGCGGGCGTAGCTGACATTCCCCCGTCGGACGGCGGGGGAATCGCCTCGGAGTGCTTCCCGGGGCATCCGATCGCCTCGCACGTGCGTGTGTGTGCGTGTGTGTGTGTGTGTGTGTGCGCGCCTTCACGGGCCCTCGCCCCAGCTTCGTCCCTCACTTGGCTGCCACGTTCCCCGCGGTGCTTCCTCGGGGTAGTTCCGCGCCCGCCGCCAAACCGGCCTCCCGCCTTCCCTCGGAGGGAGTTTCCGAGGCCGCCCCCGCATGCCACGGCGTGAGTGTCATTCGTTCCACCGCGCTCCTCTTTCCTGCCCTGCCCCACCGTAGCAGAGCCCCCTGTTCTTCGCGGTGGAGCGGAAACGGGCGAGCGAGAAATGACGTACAGAGACAAGGCTGACTCTGTGCGATTCCCGGGCGCCTGCGAGCTGCAGACAGCGGGGCCAGTCATTCGTTCGGCTGGCGGTGGGAAGGAGAAAGCGCCGGAGAAAGTTTGGCGCAGGGAGCGGAGACCTTCCTCCTAAACTTGGAGGAGCGGGAAAAGCAGAAAGAGAACTCCTGGCGCGAAACAAACTTTTCTAGAGGGAGGGTTTCCGAGCCGGGAGGGGTCACACCTCCCTCGTTCCCTCACTCAGGGGGAAACGAAAGAAAACGCCAGGGTGTGACTGATACTCAAAGGATGATCACATAGTGCCAAGCGAAGAGGGAGGGAGCGAGAAGTGCTTGGGAGTGCGCGAGAAGACCTGCTAACCTTGGTTTCCTGTCTCCTGTGTGCATTTGGGGGCAGAAGGCAATGAGCGGCGGTGGAGATGGAGGGGGGTTTCCTCAGGAGCAGAAGGAAGAAAAAGAGAGGAGGAGGAGGAGGAGGAGGAGGAGGAGGAAGAAAGAGGCAGGCAAGGCTCGGACTGTGTGCTCCAACCTGCTGCTACCCAGGCCCGACACGCAGAACGTCCCTCCTCCCGCGGACAATAGGCTGAAAACCACCAAATACACCGCCGTGTCTTTCCTGCCCAAGAACCTCTTTGAGCAGTTCCATCGCCTCGCCAATGTTTACTTCGTCTTCATCGCCCTGCTCAACTTCGTGCCCGCCGTCAATGCCTTCCAGCCCGAGCTGGCACTGGCGCCCGTGCTTTTCATCCTGGCAGTCACCGCTGTCAAGGACTTGTGGGAAGACTACAGCAGGTACCGTTCGGACCAGGAGATCAACCACATGGAGTGCTTGGTCTACTGCAGGTAATGGAAGCATTCTGGGCACTCCGTGCTCTCCTGATGATGGCAGTGGCGTGTCAAATGAAAGGCAGATCAAAAGCAGTGGGATGTTTTGCTGGGGCCTCTTGGCCAAGCCAGGAGCAGAGAGGCCGCCGCACAGGAGAGCTTGAGAAAACATGGCATCCCGTGCTTTTGCTACCGGTTAAGAGTAGCTCTTTCTTTTGCTCTAAATACAATTGCCCTGAGCTAGACTCTGGTCATATGCACTGCCCTTAGATGGTAGCGTGTACTTCAGCTCCGCTCAAATACTATAAGCCTGCTGTGCTGTATTTGGAGGCCCTTCTGCTCATTCTTCCAGTTTGGGTCCTGGATTTGGGCCTTGAAGCCCAGCCCAGTTGGCCCCTCTGGGTAGTTCAGCTAATCATCTACTGCAGCATGCAGGCATCTGGGACATCCTATCCCCTTCCAATTTCCCCTTTCTCTCACAGTAATGAAAACAAGGTGCTTTGTATGTTTTAAAAGTGTTGTGAACTGTTTCAGGGAACTTAAAATGTTTGTATACCGTTCATCAGGTAGCAGTTCCTGATGAACGGTATACAAACATTTTAAATAAATAAATATACTGGAGGTATTCTACTATATTACTGTTCTTGCCCAGACTGCCAGGCTCTGCTTCATTTTCCTTTCTTTGCATTATTTTTTAATTCTCATTTTGCCCATTCCACTTGCATTTAGTTTTGTGTGCATGAGCTCACTTTATATAAAATAATCCGGATTTTCCTTGATTATATTTGGTTTTAATTGAACACTTGAGGTGTTTGACCATCAGGGTGAGTTGACAACTACAGTGTGATCTTGGGCCCATTTTCTATGATGCGAGCCCCATTGAGCACTTTGAAATTTGCTCCTGAGTAGATGCTTCCAATTTCACTGTTAAAGTGTTTGGACTTGGACTGACATCCTGTGAGTTATTTCGTATGCACAAGTCCTTTTAACTGAATGCAGTAGTCGGTTGTGCCTCCTCCCAAACATGTCCTTGATTGCCCTTTCTCATTGTGCATCTTTACTCAGTTTTTCCCCTTTTTTTTAATCTCTTAATGTCCCTAAAATACTTTCCCTACTCATTTTGGACATGGGAAAAATCAATTTTCCATCCATCATGGACTTCTAAAGTTATGTGTATGTGATTTCCTTAACAGTATTTAGTTAACTTTTTTAATGACCTAACCAATTACCCCGCTACTAAATTATTGGAATGTGTGAAGTAGTATGAGATTGCTTGTCAGTTCAGTCTCATGTAATATGAGATTAACTGTTTCTGAATATGCAATGCGTGATTTCATTCATACATCTTTAAGATTACTTCAGTGCAGAAAATGGTTATATTTATAGCAGTACAGTAGTTCTGGCCATGTAATTTGAAGCTTCATTAGAACAGTATGCAGTGAGATCTTTGCTGACCAGACAGAAAAGGAAGAGAATTCCTGTTTTTCAATTATGGGGTGTGTGCATTAGAGATGGGTGAATTAGTGAAGTTTTGTGGTGTTTGACTCTTTACCGTTTCATTTACATGTGCATAGAAATCTTTTAGGGTCTCTCCACTTAATGACTTGAAGGCAGACGTGTGGACCTCATTGGAAAGCGCAGGCAAAAATCACATTCCTGGCCTAACCAACCACGGTTTGTTGGGTCATGTGTGCTGTGTTCATTTCCTCTGCCCTTTCCTGCCCTTCTGCCCTGGCTTAACAGAAAACTTCCCAGTTTGTTGTGGTGTCTGAATCAGGAAACTGTGGTTTCAGCACTCCATATAAGCCAGGATTGCAAGTATACTTTGAGAGGATGTGAAAGTTCTGTCCATAGCATTTGACCAGCGTTCATGGAAACGTCACTGCAATTCATCACTGGCTTGCAGGCATGGAGAGATGGCTGAGCGTATGCAAACCCTAAGCAACTGAGGTGTAGCATTAGGATAAATACACTTTTGATCAAAGCCTATGGACTTCTATTGCTGGGGAACTTGGGCAGTAGGAGCTGTCGCACTCATCCTGGGCTGTTGCACTCATCCTGCATGTGGGATCTCCTGGGCAGCTGTTTGGCCACTGCGTGGACCAGATGGACACTTGGTGTGATCCCGCAGGGCCAGTCATGTGCATGTTCTTAACTCCAGCTCCCTGCTACCAACTATCTCATGCTCTTAACCAACTCCAGCAGACTTCTCATAGACCTTTTAAATCCCCCGGTTAATCACGTTCCTTACAGAATCTCTGACTGCCAGTGGCCATTGCTGACACACTTGTCCAGTTCACACAAATGTGTCTCTTCCTGCCCCCTGCCTGATATTTTCAAACTCCCTCCATGAGCTACTGCAACAAAACAGCTTATCCAAAGAATCACCTTGTCCCACATGTACCTTCCTGGACCCTGAAGTAATCATGTGTGTCCTTCTCTGGGGGTCACCCCCAAAAGAAATGAGGCAGGTGGCAACCAGGAGGAGGGGCTTTTGGTTGTGGTACCCCAGTTGTGAAATGAGCTCCTTAAAGAGGTGCACCTGGCACCTTCTGTGTATTCTTTCACTTGTATGCCAGGTGAAGACCTTTTTACTCTCCCAGCATTTTAACAGTTTAATTTTTAAACTTTAATAGCATTTTATTTTGAACCGCTGCTGTGCTTCTATGCTGACTCAATTGTGATTGCTATTGTGGTTTTGTGGTTTTAAGTTAATTTATATGTGTGCGTGTTGATTTTTGTTAACCACCCTGAGATCCTCAGTTCTTGGAAGAGATCAGACAGACAGACAGACAGACAGAAGCTATGACAATTTCTGAACAGGAGTAATTTGACCACTGCGGTTAATGTGCTGATAACCTCAAAACTGCTCAGCTATAATGTGCTTCCTATGGGGCTGGCCTTAAGGTTGATCTGGAAGCAGTAGCTGGTACAGAGTGCCACCAACAGACTGAAAATATGACCAGCTTATCACCAGCGCATTATATCTGTGCCGAGAAAACTGCATGCACTGTCTGTATGCTACCAATTAATGCAGTCGGAATTTATTTTCACAGCCTGGAACAACTCAGGCCCCAGATGCTTGGAAGATCACCTGCCTCTTCTCTTGGTTGCTACACTTATCAGGCATAATTCTGGTGGTGCCTAAGATGTTCGAGATCAGGTCCATGATGGCTCAGAATAGGGCTTTTGGAATCTTGTACTTCACTCTCTGGAACTCTTCAGCACTGAAATTAAGCAGCCGCCATCCTTACTGATTTTTGGCACCTGTTGGAAACATAACTTGTTCAATTAAACTTTCCTAGAATGGTGATCTTGTCCTTGTCATACTGTTTTCTAAGGTCCATACAGTATTTTACTATAGTCTGATAGTTTGTTGCTCATATATTGCTTAGAATTTTCTTTTTAATGCAAGCCATTCATAAATATCAGTAAATAAATATAACTTCATAGTGACAAAGGATGTGAAACTTCCCTGTTCTTGTCCAACAATCCAGCATCCATGACCTGACCAAGAGTGAGGGAAAAATGAGGGCTCCTCCATTCTCATGGCTCAATCCCGAACCTTGATTTCAAAGTCAAGTCTGAACCACAAAAGCTGATTGACTTTTTTTCCTCTCTGTTTTGTCCTTGGGGAGCTTAGTGATTTCTCAACACTCCAGAAATCTGCTCCACTAGCAAAGCAGTTCAGAAAGGGAGCTAAGTATACCAGCTGGTGGTGGCAGGGCAATGCTATTTCAACAGGGAGGTTCCATTTCTCTTCTTGCATAGAAGGAAACAAACTACGGTAAGCTCTTTTGGCATCTGAAATGTGCAACAGAAACTTCCTCGATGTTTTCACGAATTTCTTATTGAGTGATGATAGCTGTCCTAAGGAGAGGACCTGTCGTTCCAACACTAGTGCAGCATACAGGAGCGAGTTTCATGGACAACGGGGGGAAAGCTAAGGAAGACACATTCTGTAATAAGTTGGGAACCTACACTGACTTTTTGAGGAATGGAATGATACATTTTAAAATGCCAGGCACTAAGCAATAAAAGAAAGCAGTGTGCCCATGTTAAATGGTGCAGTTGTCTATCATTGTATAAGGATCTGGGAATACTGTTTTACATCAGTTGGCTGTATATTCTTGAGTTCGTCTGCAGATATCACAGGACATACTGAATTTTTGCCAGAAGTAACATGTGAGAGTGGTAAGGAGTGATGGGCAGGACTTGAAGTTAGGAGTGAGAATGAAGGAACTGAAAGTCAGAAACCTTGAGTGGAGGAAAATGATAATCTTTCCCCTGGAGCTTGCCTGATCATCTGACTCATCTGATTAGAGCAGTGAATTAAGAAATAGCGGTAGTGTGTTGTATCACATCTTGCTGGCCTTTTAGTCAATAAAGTTGGAGGTTTGGACAGTGCAGGTTTTGGCTGTAGTTGCCAGACATATCAAAATGTTTGTGTGAGTAAGGGCCACATCTGTACATTTCCAAGTACCATTGCTTTTCACAAACCCAAATGATTGGCCTCTCCCCCTCCCCTGAGAACACCTCCCAGTCAGTCTCCGAGTCTGGCAATGCAAGGAAGGAGATAATCCAAGTAAGCTCTTAACTATAGACTGAATTTTAAGTTCCCAGAAAATCTCATAGTTAATTTCATGGTTTCACATGAATGTCTTCTGGTAAGTGTTGGAAGAGCTCAAAAAGGGATAAGAGTGGGGCAAGCAATGATTTCCGTCTGCAGGTGAGCCATAATACTTTAAAACTGGCTTTTTGGCGCCTCTCCAGCTGTAGTGCTTAGGGTGTTCGTAAGAAACTGTCACTGGTAGCTATCATGTTAATTGTACCTATGGTTATTTTCTTTTAGCAAGAATGGGTGCCACTAAGAGTACTTTGCAAGTGAACAATATTTTCATTAGGATCAATGATATGCTGCAAAAAAGCATGCAAGCACTTGTTCTGATTTCTGCAAAACACTTCAATTAGACAGGATCATACAAAAACAGTGGGTGGAGGTAAGTCCTTGCACTCTA